TTTATTATAAACCAATAAAATCAACACTAAAATTACTATTTATGCATACCTGGATCATATCTCATGTAATGCATCCAGCCAGATGTCATTTGAATACCAAGATTTCGCCATTCAGTTTCAGTCATCAAATGAGTCTTAGGTAAGAGTTTGGCCATGTCTTCTGGTAAGATTACATGCCTGCCATATAAGTTGTTGAAGGTTATCCAAACACAAATTGATACATGAATAGTCTTAAATTATGTTACATTAAATACACATACCTGTAAATGTACATATTGTCTTCATATTTTGTTGAATATTGTATGTCTCCTCTAGACATATTGGCTGACAGTTATTGAAATATGATTAAGTCACAGAAGCGTTAAAATATTAGAATATATTTTATATAATGAATTATGGTAGCTCCAGTAAAATAAACCAGTAGATGCTTACAGCTTATATTAAATTATTAACACCAAATTATAGCACCAAAAAATATATCACAACAATACATTTAACTTTTAAGTAAGATCATGGTTGAAATATACCATACCACCATGGATAAGACGTATAAAGCATAATAAACATTTTGGCGGCAAAATGAATAATAAAAAATGAAACGCACTGCCGGAACTGATAATAACAGCTGAACACGTGTTGTTATTATGGTATCACATTTGTGAAAAATTGATAGTATTATCAGATATTTGAAAAGTGAATGTTATGCATTATGGTCAAAGAATTAAGATTACAATGAAAGCATAAAGCTGAAGTTCAAACTTCAACCTTACCACAGAAGACAGAACAAATTGACCTTAATAGTTACTTATAGCTTATAAGTAATATTATTTTAATTATTAAAAATCGAGGTGTTGTTTAGATTATTAATTTTTGGTATCTTTCAAACATACTGCCATGTTACGTTTATGTTGTATTAAACAAATAAATTTGTCAAAACTACAGTCTTTTATTACTAGGTAAGTAAGTTACATTTTGAAAATTTCAAAAATAGCTGGGGTTATATCTATAAAATATTAATAAATAATTATGAATTGTTTAAATAGTCCTATTTGTACATTTTATGTTTTGGTTCTGGTAAAATAAGACATGGATATCTGAAATATTGTCACTTACCCTATTACTGGACAAATTACAAAATACAAATCCATCACTTCAGACCCAACCTATTGCTCGGAATTTTTTTTATTTTGTAAATTCTTGAATTTTATTTTATTTGACTCAGCATTCTAATAATTTAGAGACACCTACCTATTCTAAGTATTTAATTACTTAAACTATTAAAATATTTTATTTTTTGTTATTTTATAGACAACCAACTAGGGATTATTCATCCTTCATAAAAAATGTAACAAGTAAAAAACCAATTCCAGTATCATCAATTAATTTAAGCAAATTTAATCCAAGGTGGATGCTTATGGGATCTGTTGGATATATTGGATATAGATATTTACTTAACGGAAGTAACATAGTTTATTGTCAACATATAGAGCCAGAATCAACATCTGACAACCATTTTGATTGGAATAAGTTGTTGTCTTATTTGTCACCAGATTTACTTAGCTTAATAGCTGCTATTGCTGTAGGTATATTAGTAATTTTCATGGCTATTTGATAAAAGATACTGTTACTACATTTGTATACTTAAATATATTTATTGTATGAAGTGTTATAATATTCATATACTTAAGGACCACTGGATTTTTTAATGATTTATTATTTTATTCATTTTTAGACTGCGTTCATTGTTGCTCTCTGCAATTTAAGTATTCCAATAAATTTACAACATGTTATAAATACTATACTTCAGTTTGCTAGAGATGAAGTACCATTTGATTTTAAAAAACTTAGTGATCCATTATCCAAACTGTTAGCACTTTACATAATGCAGGTAAAATTGTAGCTAAATATTTTAGTTCAAAGCACAAGTAATTTTTTAACAATCTTTTTCTTAGGGCCTATCAACATTTATATGTATAAGCATGCTGTCAAAAGTTGGAGAAAATGTTGCTATACGTATGAAATATAATCTTTTTTTATCTATACTTCAACAAGAGCTRGAATTTTTTGATAAAACTCGTACTGGAGATATTTTACAAAGGTAAATACACAACTCAATTAAAAAATAACTACAGATTATGTTGAATATAAACATTTTTTGTTTATGAAAAAAAAGTTTTTTTTCATAACAAGTGGGTTAC